GCAAGCATGAGTGCCCTAAGGCAAAAATCTCTTTACAAAGAAAAAGAAGAAAGAAAAGAAAACACTATGGTTCATCAGAAAAATAAAAGTAGAATTACTGGTGCTGGCAGGTGGCGTGGTGGTTAAGGGTGCTGGACTCCCCCATGGCCTTTTTTTTTTTTTGGAGAGGTTTTCACTATAGGGCGCATGCACTCGCCAGACAGACAGAGACAGACATAGAGACAGAAAGCGAGAAATCACCCCCCAAGGGGGACGGTCACGCTGCAATCCCTTCTCCTCCATTTTCCTCTTGGGATCTTGGACACGCACGCACATGCGCCCGGCGTGAGTTTTAAGCCACCGGGTTCGGGACGCAAACCGCGGTCGACTATGTGGGAGTCCAGCGACATAGCCATTACGCTAACTGCTGGTCCCCAACTCCCACATGGCTGACCATGGTTTGAGGCCCAGACCTGGCAGCTTGCATTCTTACTTTCCCCCTTTCTCACTCAGTGCTGCTCTAGTCAAATTAAAATAAATAAATAAATAAAGTTAGATAAAATAATTATTTATAAAAAAAGAATTACCAAAGGATCCAGTCGTTCCACTTCAGCTGTATATCTGAAAGAATTAAAAACAAGGACTCAAGCAGATAACTTGTACAACTATGTTCATAGCAGAATTGTTCCTATTAGCCAAAAAGTGGAAGCAATGAATATATCTATTGGATGAATGGGTGACTGCATAAACAAAATGTTACACACACACACACACACATACACACACACAAAACACAATGGAAAATTGTCAGCCTTAGAAGTCAAAGACATTACATGCTACAACATGGATAAACCTTAGAGACATGTTGAGTAAAATAAATCAGTCACTACAGGACAAATGTTGTATGATTCAACTCATATAAATTATCTACAGTAGTCCAGTCCATAGAGCTATAAAGTGGAAGGGTTGTTGACAGAGGCTGAGGAGAGAGTAAGTGGGGACGTGTATAATACACAGCGTTTCAGTTTTGTAAGGTGCAAAAGGTCCAAAGATGGATGGTGGTGATGTGTGAATG